CCCCCCCCCCCCTCGCCCCCCGCTTCATCTTGGTGGGATCCCCGCGGTGTGTCGCGCAGTACCTCGACATGAGCCACAACCCTCTGTCCCTGGACTCCCTGCCGGTGTTCATCCGGTATCTCTTGGTCAATCCCTGCCTGGCGGATGTGTGCCTGGTGTTGCGCGACGTTGGCCTGAATGCCGAAACCGCGGAGTTGATTTTCGGCCTGATCTCGCACAATATCGTGGCCCTGGACATTAGTGACAACTTCCTTGGGAATGCCGGCCTCGAGGCGGTTGCCTCCTCCTTGCTGGCCGGGTCGTCATCCCTCCGATCGCTGGTGATGGACCGGTGCTTTGGCGCGGCGCACAGCCCCGGCGAGCATGGGCGCATGCGCTTTGGCCCGGGCACTGGCGGGTCTCGATCGGGTGCCGGCCCCCCGGCGCCGGTTTCCCGCCCGGCACAACTCTTTGCACAGATGCTGCGGAGTTGCGTGGCCAGCGATCGGAGCGATGGCGCAGCCACCGCCCCCAGCGCCGACGTCACCCAAGGCCCATGCATCGAACGGCTGTCCATGCGCGGGGATTATGGCCAGTCATCTGGCCGGGCCGGGGCATGTTGCCTGCGTCAGGATCTCGTCGAAGCCATCTTGCCCGCCCTGCGGTTCAATCAGAGCCTGCGGGCGGTAGATCTGAGTGGACATGCTGGCGAGGATGCCGCTCTCGTGGCCCTTGTTGAGTACGTCTTCTCTCTCTATTTCTCTCTTTCTCTCTTTTTCTCTTTCTCTCTTTCTCTCTTTCTCTCTTTCTCTCTTTCTCTCTTTCTCTCTTTCTCTCTTTCTCTCTTTCTCTCTTTCTCTCTTTCTTTCTCTCTCTCCCTATCTCTCTCTCCCTATCTCTCTCTCCCTATCTCTCTCTCCCTATCTCTCTCTCCCTATCTCTCTCTCTCTCCTCTTGATTCCCATACCTTCTGCCATCTGTCCGCCTCCTCTTCTTTTTCCTCTCGCACCCTGACCTCCGTCCCTTTGTCGACCCATGATCTTCCCCCTGCAGAGTTCTCAAGCACAACTCCACCCTGCAATCCGTCTCCCTCGACAACAATGGATCGACCATGCTCGGGTTCGAGAAGCTCCTGACAGCACTGGAGACCAATCACACTTTGCGGCGCTTCCCCCTGCCGGTGCAGGATATCCTCGCTTATCGGGCTGCTACCCGTGGCGCCGGCGGCGTTGGCGGCCAGATCACCACCACTTGGAAGACCATCCACTCGCTGGTACGAAGCCTGTCCCCCTTTTTTTTTTCCCGGCCCTTGTCAGCGACGACATGTGCCCCTGCCCGGTTCTTCGCGTCTCTTCCTGTCCTAACGCATGGGGGGCTGTCCCACTGCTTTGATCTCAGCTTCTGCGAAACAGCGCCCAGGGTAGCTCGCTGGTGCAGCAGCGCCACCTGGCGTGTCGCTCGCTGGATCGGGCGTGCGTCCGACGCCTGCTCCTGGCCGGGGTTTCGGTTCGCCTGTGCGACGACTCGCTGGCCGCCCCTTTGGCCATGGTCAGCGACGAGGAGGATATCACCCCGCTGCTGGCCCGCCAGACGGCGGCGGTTCTGTGCACGGACTTGTCATTGGAGCATGTGCAGCTTCGCGGTTCGGGCGAATGGTCCACCGCTCCCTTGCTATCCATCCCGGTGACACGTCTCCGCGAGGTGACCCCTTTGACTGTGCGCACATTGCGGCCCACCTCCTCCGAAGACTCGGCAGGCCCGGGGCCGGACATCGTGCATGTGGTGCGCATTGACATTGGCCCGGCCTCGGCGGCTACTTCCTCCACGGGCAGTCCGCTGTCGCCGGTGTCGCCGGTGTCACCGGCGGCTCCCCTGCCGGCCTCGGTGCTTGTCGTGGTCCCAGGGGTATCCCTGCAGGCGGATGTTGTGGCGCTGCTGCGGCGTCTGCGCGATGAGTCGGATGCCTTGCATTTGGTTCTCCCCCAGCCAGGGGCGGCCGCTCGGGCAAGGGCCACTTCGACCTCCACCTCGGTGGCCACGCGGCAGAGCATCAGGTATTCCATTCTCCAGAGTGCAGCGCCCCGCAGTGCGGAAGCCATCGACGCGTCGGTCAGCTTCGAGGGTGCCCTGGCGTCGTCCGGGGCGCCGAACGTGAGCCGTCTGCGGAATCAAGATCTCATTCGTGATCGTCGCCACACCATTCGCCTGCTTGCCGGTGCTCGGGCCAGCCTCCTCCTCGGGCCCGATACGATGGCCTCAGCATTGCACACGCCGCCCCCCCTGTCGCCGGTCAGTCCGAGTTCCGCCGGTGCTGGCCCCGGCGCGGCGCGGGAATTGCCCAACTGGGCCATGTCGGTCCTGTCGCACCGGGAGCAGCGTGCTCGCCTGGACGCCGCCGACCCCGAGGCCGAGCCGGCCGCCGCGTCAGCCCACGAGCAGCGGGCCGACGCGGCTTCGGACTTCCTCCGGTCCTTGCGCGAGCGCATCCAGGATTACATCCCGCCTGTGTCGGCGCCGGTGCGTTTCCTTTCCCCCTTGCCCCCTTTGCCTCCCTCATGGTGTGCTGTTCATGTGCCTCTCCGCTGCCTTTCGCCGTCCTCCCTTGCCTCGGGCGTGCTGACCCCCGGTCGCTGTGCCTCCTCCCTGGTGTTGGCCTTTTCGCTCTCGCCCGGCATTACTTTGCGCCCTGCAGCGCACATTCCTCTACACGCTGAAGGGCCATTCGGTGGTGCGCGCGCGGCTGATCCCCGAGTTGTCGGTGTCGCGCCTCAATGAGGGCGACGCCTTCGTGCTGATCATCGAGTCCCAGCCAGCCGCGGCCACATCTGTCCCGCCGGCCGGGAGCCAGTCGTCGCAGTACCGAGCCTTTGATGCCAATATCTACGTTTGGTCCGGGCGCCGGGCCTCCCGGCGGGAGCGCGATGCTGCTCGTCTCTTTGCCCGCGATGTTGCCCTGCAGGATTACTTCTCGGCCAACATCATCACCGTGTCCGGTGCGTCTCCGGAATGGGGCTGCCATGTACCTTTGTGCCTGGCCGGTGTTGAATGTGCTGCTGCTGCTGCTGCTGCTGCTGCTGTTGCTGTTATCGGGTTTGATTGTCATTATTTTTGCGCCCCAATATGGGTCCCCCCGTGCTGGGGCTTCTCTTCTTGCCATCCGCCCCCCTGTCTTGACTCCACCTAACTCTCGGTCCTTGCCCCAGATGACACGGCGGAATTTTGGCAGACCCTACATGGCCGCCGGGCGGATGTCACGTCCGAGTATGATGCCGGCCTCGATGCCGTGGAGGAGGGCGCCTGGACCCGGGCATACACCCTGCTCCGGGTGGCTGCCAACCCCAGCGACTCGGATCACGCCAGCGGCACCGTGGTCGAGCGGGTGGCCATATCAGCCGATGAGTCGGCGCAGGCGGCCTCCGGACGGCTGCGCCCCTCGCTGGACCCTGGAGCCGCCTATGTTTTGGACACCGAGGCCGGCGAGGTGTTCACCTGGGTCGGGCCGCGGACGCCGACTGTCCTGCGGGTGACGGCCGCCCTGCTGGCGGTCGACCGGGCTGAGGCCTTTGTTGAGCGGCGGCTCTTCAAGCGGGCCGGTGGCAGCCGGGGCGCGGCTGTGACGGCCGCCGGCGTCTCGCCCACTCGGCAGCCTGACTCCCGGCGGCCCTCCATCGGCAGCATTGACTCCGACCATGAAGTCAATGACCGCTCGGCCGACGCCCCGGCCGGGACTCCCAGCAATGGCCTGGCCAGTAACACCTGCTTTGCCACCGTGCGTAGCGAGGTTTCCGGCCGTGAGAGTGTCTTCTGGCGAAGCAAGTTCGATGACTGGTTTGACTCCTCGTCGCTCCTCTCCCTGGACAGTACGCACCAAGGGGGCCCCTGCCTTTTTCCCCATGCCGGCCCATTGCCCCCCCCCCCCTTATGGCTCCTCGATTTGCTGATCCTCATGCTGCTGCTGCTGCTGCTACTGCCATCTCCTCCTCCCTTCCCCTCCGCGCTCCTTAGCTCTGCCACAAATCCGCGAGCATGTCAAGGTCCTGGCCACCTTCGGCCAGGCGGACGACTTTGTCGTCTCACCCACCGGGCGCGAGGCCCCCTGGATGCAGTTGGTCCCGGGCCGGCGCGCCGGTGCTGGATCCATCCAAACGGACTCCCACTCGGCCGGCATCTCCCTGGCATCGGCCCAGGGGCGTGTCTTCCTGGTGGACGAGGTCGAGCAGAAGTCGCTGGATGTCACCCGCGACGCGCTTTTCGAGGGGGTTCCCTTCACCACCGGGGTTCCGCCACCGCCGCTGCTCCTCTTCTCGGAGGACTGCCTGTTTTTCTACATCGACGAGAGTGCCCTCTCACCCGAGCGCACCCTCATCCTGTGGCAGGGTTCACAAACGACCCGCGTGCGTTGGCGTTCGGCTTGTGCTGACCAGATCCCCCCCCCCCCCCTGTACCACTGACTTCGTCCTTCTTCCCTTTTCTTTCTGCTCGCCCCTTTCGCACGGCCTTTCGCCATCGATCTTGCCTGGGCCTCAGTTCAAGCGTAAGATTGCTCGTGGTCTGATCAATGAGTTCCAGCTGGCTGGGGCCCTTCCTCGGGTGCGTACCACCGATTTGTTTCTTGTCCGGGGTTTTTTTCCTTCCCCCCTCTCTCCGCCTCCGCGCGCTTCCCTGCCCCTCCCCCGCCCCTCCTGACCCTGTGACTTCCCTTGCTGCTGCTGCTGCTGCCGCCGCCAAATCGAAACAGCTCTTCATCATCTCTCAATTCGAGGAGCCGAACTGGTTTACGACATTCATTGGCCGGCCGCTGGTGTACCGTCGCGGGGCAAGCCATCCCCGTCTGACGTTCAGGCACAATCCCAGTCGCCTGTTCCGAGTGCCGCCGCTGGAGGCCGGCACTTCGGGCTCGCCCAAGACAGCATCACCCGGCTCCAAGCCAATGATCGCCACTGCCACCGCCGCCGCCGCCGCCGCCGCCGCCGCCGCCACTACCTCCACCACCACGGCCGCCAATGCTGTCGATCCCCTGGTGACGGTGTCTGCCGGCCCTCACGCCCAGCGGCAGGCCAGCCTGACGCAACACCTCCACTGGCTGTCGACCTTGGTGTCGACGGAGGCTGGCCCCGACAACACCCCAGTCACAGCTGTCACGCTCTATCAGCTGAAGCCCTACCTGGCTGGCATGCGCGATCTGGCCGTCGAGGCGGATTGCCACTGGAGCGCCCTAAACAGCAGGGACTGCTTCATCCTCCAGGCGCGCGTGGGAAGTCTTGCTGGTGAGGTGGGCGGTCCTGGCGCTGGGGCCGGGCCCGATCGCACTGCCTTCACGGTCGTGTGGGCTGGGTCTCTGGCCAGCCCGGCCGAGGTGGCCAATGCCCAGCACATCGCCCAGGCCATGGGGTCCTCGGCCGCGACAGAGACCATTTCCGAGCCGCCGGGGCCCGATGGGAAGCTGCCTGTCGCTGCAACTCCCCGTATGGCCGCTGCTTGGCGGCACTTTTGCCACTACCTGGGGCTGGACACCGACACGCCGGTTGGCATGATTGGCCGCCCGATCCCGGCCCCGCCGATCCCCTCACGGCCCACGGTGCGCATTCATCCGTCCAGCATGCATCTCTCCGATGTCCCTTTTCTCCCCCTTCTCTCGCTCGTCCTCGCACTCTTTCCCCCTTTCTCCCCCCTCCGCTTGGATGGCATTCCCTCTTTCGATAATCCCATCTGACTCCCGCGTCTGCCCGGCTCTCCGTGCTCCAGCCCCTCTGGCCTGTCCTCTTGGAAATCTCCTTCCCCAACCTGGCCTCGCCGTACATCAATCTCGAGCGGCTTCCCGTGCGGACGTTCCACCAGCGCGACTTGCGGCCGGACTGCGCGTACATTGTCGACCCGGCTGTTCGCTCACTGCGCGATGTCACGACCGACCCGGCCCCGGGAGAGGGGGCCCCCCCTCGGCCCGGGGTCTTCCTCTGGATTGGCCCGATGTGCCCGGCCTTCCTGCCACCGGTGCCCTCGGTCGCGGACGCCGGGTCGTCTCCGGTGCTCGAAAGTCTCGGTCTGACGATCGGGTCCTGCTCCTTTGAGTTGCTTGTGCGCGTGGCGGCCGAATATGCGTCGCATGTGGGGCTCGACCCGCGTGCCGGCGTGACTGTGGTACTGGCCGGCACCGAGCCGAGCACCTTTTCCGCGCACTTCGCCGGCTGGTCCGGCGCCTACACCCCGGGCCCGGATGCGGTGGCCCACTCGAATCGCCTACTCCGGTATGACCTGATCGTCAAGCGCCCCTGGCCAGCCGGGGTGGCGGTCACATCGCCCGATGCGCTGGAGCTCCTCCTGCCGGAGCGCACCCTCCGACAGCTGCTGTTGGCCCCGCATTACTGGCCGTCAACTGGCGTGCACCGGCGCTTTGCCCGCCTGCCGGATTGGATCCGCACCAACCTCAAGCTGGAGCTCGAGCTGCAGATCTAGCTGGCACTGGGTTCTGCACAGCCGAGCAGGCCCGGCCGAGTGCGCAAACAAAAGAGCGAGACCGGCGCAGGCGTCCCCATCTCGCCCAGTTGGACCCTTTTCTCGCGTTCCCCAAGAGAAAGAGAGCGATATGAAAGAAACAGACCAATCCATCCATCTGTGCTCACACGCACACGCACACGCACACGCATGTGCGACCACATGTGCATTCTTCTGCCAAAATACACCCCATCATCCTCCTATTTGGGCCCTCATTATGGGCCCAAGGCCCCAGGCCGAAGAGGCGACCGGAAGCCGAAACCACCTTTGGCGCGCCGCCACATGCCCACCCCGGCGGGGGAGGGAGAGGGGGAGGGGCGAAGGGCGAAGGGCTGGGACACTAGAGGCGAGGCCCCCCGATTGACTGCCAACGAATGGCCCGATGGCTCTGTTTCGCGTGCGGGGGCGCCACGAACTGGCGCTGGCGCGCCCCCGGGGTGCGCGCTTGCCTCCCTGATCTCGGGGCCGCGCTCCTCCGTTACCTCTCCCCAGTCGCCTGCCGGGCCGGAGGATGGCGGGCGGCAGGCGGGTTTATTTTTATTATTTTTTCCTCCGCACTGGCGGCCGAGGGGGTGTCGCTGCCGAAACCGGGCACCCCCTGCGCGTGCCTCCCTCGTCGCGCCAGGCATCATGCATCCGTGTCGGAGGCCCGGGCCGGAGGGAGCCGGCGGGGGCCCAAGGTCTGGGCTCCCTCGCTGGAAGCCATTTCAGCAGCCGCGCAGGCGGATCCCGGACAGCTCCGGGGCTGTAGTCTCTTTCCGCCCCTCCCGCCTCCCTCTCACCTTTCACCAACGTGGTTTTTCTTCCCTCCGCTCGTCGCCGTCGGTCCCTCCCCTCCTCTCTCTCTCTCTCTCCCTCTCCCTGTCCGCCCTTCCTCCTCGGTCCCTGCTCGCCCCTCCTCCCCTGCCCATCTCCCGCGCCCGCTCCACTTCTCCTGCCCTCTGCACATGTCGACTCCCGCCCCGGCGCGGAAGCGCGCGCGCTCCGCCGCGCAGTCCGATCAAGGTGATGCACCTGGACGCACCAAAAAGCCGGCGCTTGTCCTGACCATCAACAGTGGCAAGGCCTCCGGAGAATCGACCCCTGCGCCCACTGCTCGGAGGTCCGCCGGGTCAGGCGCCTCAGCCACCGGCGGGCGCGGTCGCGCTCGGGGCCCGGCTGCTGCAGGAGGTCTGACTTCCACCCAGGCGGCGGGCGCCTCCAGCGGGGCGACCGCCGCGGCCGGGGCCGCTGCCGCCGGGCCCGCGCCGCGTGCCGTGCTGGAAACTCGCATCCCCTCCATTCCGCTGATCACCGGGCCGATGCGCTCGCTCGGGTCGCTTCTCCTCCGAACCAACTCCTTCGTGGTGCCGGCCTCCCGGCGATCAGCCCTCCGGCGGGGGTATGACACTGCCCGGAACGCCGATGCGCCGGCTGAGGGCCAGGATCCCGGGGCCCCCGGTGACCCTGCCGCCCCCGAGGCGCTTTGCGGCCTGGATTCGATGAAGGTCGAGCTGCCCGAGCGGGATGCCCCCACGAGCCTGGCCGAGCAGCCGACCAGCATGCCCAAGGTCGAAACTTCGCGGGTCGAATGCGGTCGGGCCAAATTCTCGCTGCAAGCTCTGGCCCTGGCACAGCCGCCGCTGCCCACCCGGACGGTTGTCATCCACATTGGCTCTCGACAGCTGTATGCCGGCCAGTGCCAGAGCGTCGCCCCGCTGGCCTTCCCTCCTGTCGTTGCTTGCCCGACCTCGAGCCGGGCCACGCCAGCTGAGGATTCGAGCTCCCTCCTCGACAGCATTGCAACGGATGAGGTACGCCATGTTGCCTGGGCGATGCCTCTCATCCGGGCAGCCCTGCCGCCGTCACCTGTCCCCGCTCCTCCTCCTCCTCCTCCCTTTCCTCCCTCCCCCCCCCCTCTTCCCCCTGTGACGGGCACCCGGCCATTCACAGGCTCATTTGTGCACGAGCAGCTGCCCCCGGCGTACTGACAGTCGGCCACTTCCATCCAGGCGGTCATCGAGATTGGCCTGGCTGAGCGTCAATTGCGCGATTTCGTCAAACTCGGCATCCGACGCATCATCCAAGAGGTACCTCTGCTCCGAGTATTTGTGCTCTTCCCCGCTCGGTGGTGCTTCCCTGTGCACTTTCCCGTTTCCTCATGCCTGCTACCCCCCCCCCCCCCCCCCCCGCCCCTTGCGACACACTTTACAGGAGATCTCCTACAACCAGTCGGCCGGCTTTCGTGAGGTCCCGATCGATAGTGATCCGGATCCGGCGGAGTATGTGACAGCCATGCCCGGCCAGTCGTACTTCGGCGCGGAGGTACGCCGCGTGTGCCTCCCTCCGGCCATGTCTTCTGCATGCCCCCTCTGACACCCTTTGCAAAGGCCCTCCAACTGGACGACCAGCGCAGCCCCTGCGACCTGCGCTGGCTCTTCAATGCCCAGGGCCGGCCGAACCTGGCGACCTACTACGACCTGGCCGCTTTGGAGGCCGGCTCGCCGGAACTCCGTGCTCTGGAGGAGCTGCTGGATCAGATGGACGCCTCATTGGAACGCTTTCCCAGTCGAAGCGGCCCGTTGGCCCTGGGAGCCACCTCGCGGTCGGGTGCCACGGCCATTGCCTCCCCCTCGGCAAGCTCACTGAACTTGGCCGCCGGCCCTGGTGGCGACCATCCCACCGAATCGGCCGAGGCCGTGGTCATGACGTACCTGCCGGAGGAGGCCGGCCGTCGGCCGGCTGCCACCGGGGCCCAGGAACTGGCCGCGATTCACCGGCGTGGCCAGGCAGCCGGGCGGTGGCTGCTCGACGCGGGTGGCTTCTTCCGCCATGTTTTTCGCCGGGTCATTGGCCACGAGTTGGCCGCCGGCCGCCGAGGGGGGCATCACCCGGAAATCAGCCCCGCCCAACTGGCCGAGCACATGCGGGTACATGCTCCTCCCCTTGGCCCGGCTGTTGGCCCTTCTGCCCTTGCATTCCCTCGTGCCCGACTCAGCCTCTGACCCTGTTCCCGCGCTATTCTCCCTCGCACGTGTGTCGGCCTTCTTTTTCTTTTTCTCCCTTTCCCTGGTCCCCCTCACCCAACCCCCCCGGGCAGACCATCAACCTGCTGCTCATTGTGCCCGACCATACAACCGAATTGGATCTGGATCTCTACTCGGAACTCTTCTTCAACCAACTCGGCCTGCGAGGTCTGCTCTTTCACCAGGCACGAACCCGACCTGCACCATGTGTCTGCTCGGCTTGCGCCGCCGCATCCGATTCGACCCTTGTCCTTTGGTCTAACTCCGGTCCTCTGGTCTGGCTCTGGTCCTTCCTCCGCCTTTTCTTCTTCTCCCCTTCTCCCTCGCTCCTCCTCGGCTCCCTTCCCCTCCCTTCCGTCCGACGGTGGCTGGTCGCGCCTGCAGGAGGGCGTTTGCAGTGCCTTCGGTGCCGGGCTCTCCTCGGCGCTGGTGGTCGACATCGGCAGCCAGTCAATCAAGGTGTCCTGCGTGGAGGATGGCGTGTCGCTGAAGGCCTCCCGCGTGCGCCTGGCATATGGCTCCGATCAACTGGCTACTGCCTTCGCGTGGATGCTCCAACGCCGGTCGTCTCCCCTGGCTGCGCGCATCGCCCTCCCGGATGGGGGCCTGCTCCGGGCCACCGGCCGCGGTGATATCCACTCCTTCCGCGTGTCCGTCGACCAGTACCGCATTTTCCGCACTCTCTGCCAAATTCGTGAATCCTGCCAAACCCTAGAACTTGTGCGTGGCCCCCTCCCCCCCTCCCTTCGGGAAACCCCTTTCCCCGGCTGGCTGAAGGGGATCCTCCACTAACTTGACCATTTGTGGTGATGCCATCCCACTGTCCCGCGGCATCAAAGGTTGATCCCGTCATCAAGGAGCTGTTGGACCATGTTCGGCATCAGGCGGCCAACACCTTTGAGATCTCCCATTACCTGTATGACGAGCCCTTCATGTCATCATTGGTGCGTGGAGTGCCGCTTGCGAGAGGGCCCGCCAGCGCGGGCACTTTGCCGGCTGCTGCCAATCGGCGGCCTTCCCTCTTGCCTGTCCTCTCATGCCCAGCTAACTGGCCATACTTTCGTCGCAGGCCCTCTTCTTCCCGAAACTGCTCCCCCGGCCGACGGTGCCGACCTTGGCCGAGCGTGTGGCGGAATTGGACCACATTCTCGCCGGGCTACGCCTCTTGGTGGAAAGCCACCAGCTTGGCAATTTCAGCCACGATGCCATTATCAGTGCCGAAAATGCGGCCAGCCAATTTTCCGCCCTCTCCCTGCGTCTTTTGCTGGAGGCCCCGGGCGAGGGGCCCATCAACTCGGCGGACGTGTCGCTGGAGTCGGCCGCCGCGGCCCTGAAAACCCAGCAGGATATCCTCCTGCCTGATGCCCTTCCCCCCTTGGATCAGGATGTGCGCCGGCCTTTGGACCTCGACATGACCCCTGGCCCTTTTTGCGGTGCTGCCCTTTGCTTACCGAACCTTCCCTCCTCCTCTTTCTTCTTCTCCTTCTCCGACACACGCATGCACACACACGCATACACACACACACACACGCATACACACGCAACTCCCTCGCTCAGTCGACAATCATCTATGGCGTGACGACGCTTGCGGCCGGTGCCTCTGCCACCGCGGCCTCGGCCGCCCGTGGTGCCATCTCGCTGTCCAATGTCACCACGGCCATTCCCAGTGTCTCGACCATGGTTTCGACTACCTACCGGCCGCCCGCTCCACCGAGCCAATCGACTGATTCGACATCCACGGCCGCCTCTGCCGCTTCTCCTGCCACACTTGCGGCTACTCCCACCGGCTCGGCCGGCACATCATCCAAAAAGTGCGTGCGCTGTCTTCCCTTCCCCGCTTGTGCCTCTCTTTGGACATCCTGCCCTAACCTCGTCCATGGGACCCCCCGGGGGGTCCCGCCCTTTATTCTCGCCCCATTACACGGGATCCAGATCCAGCAAGGCCGAAAGCAAGACCGATGGTGCTGAGGACCTTTTCCTGTCACTGACCAAGGCCGGCCCTGCGTCGGCCGGCGCGGCTGGCGGCACAACCGCCGCTTCCAAGAAGAAGGCAAAGGCCGTCGGGTCGGGCACCACCGGCCGCTCGGATTCCCCCGGCCCGGGGACATCGGCCTCTGGCACAGCCAAGGAGGGCAACGCCCCTGCCAGCCAGGCATCCATCTCACAAGGTGTGCTGCTGGCGCATGGCCCCGGGCGGCAGGCATTTGTCGGTGCCCGACTCGTTCCTCCCTCGTCGGTGGACAATGATCGGCCTTTGGATCCGCTGCTGGAGCGCTTTGTTCCGCCCGGCATGCATGGGCTCCTTTGTGCGGACCTTTGCTCGGTGCGCCAAACGACCTCGGACCCGCTGGATCTGGCCATCCTAAAGTCCCTGCAAGCAGCCGGTACGCGCACATGTCGCACTCGCTACACATACGCACACACATACGCACACACATACGCACTTTCCCGTGATAGTGCAGGCCACAAGGCGCGGGTTGATGCACAAGCCAGAAGCCATGTAGGCCGGTGCTTCTGCTTTCATGCTGACCAAGCTGACATGCTCTCCCCCAAGGCATTTCCGAGGAGCGTCTCGCCCGGCTGATCGGGGCCGTGCTGATTGTTGGAGGGACCAACGATCAGTCCTTGAAGCACCTCGGTCGGGCGGTGACCGATCGGCTCCGGTCACTGCTCTTGTCCCCGCCCGAGGGGCTGCTGGCGCCCGAGCCTGATGCATCGGCCCGCAATGGTATTGCCCTGCCGGAGGTGCCGGCGGCACCGCCCTCGGCCAAGCGTGGCCGTGGTAATCAGGCCTCACAGGCCGCTGCTGCCGCTGCTGCTGCCGCCGCCGCCGCCGCCGCCGCCGCCGCCGCCGCCGCCGCCGCCGCCGCCGCCGCTGCCACGGCTGCACAGAACTTCCCCCTGACCGAGCGTGTGGCCGCCGACTTGGCCGGGCAGATTGCCTTGGCCTCGGTGGAGATCAACCCCGCGCACTTGGCCTGGAAGGGCGGCTCCATCATCGCCCGACTGGACAACATCAACGAGCTGCCGAATTCCTCGGCGATCAAGCTGGCCGCCGTGGCACAGGCGGCCGAAAGTGCTGCGGCCGAGGCCGAGGCCGCTGCCGCTGCCGCCGCCACCGCAGCAGCAGCAACAGAGGGCACCTCGACCGAGAGCGCCGCGACTCCAGCTCCCCCGATGCCCTGTGTCGCCTCCGCCCCGAAGCAGGAAGACCCCGAGCAGGAGGACTGGCCCTGCTTCGATGGGACCGGCGACGCTTGGATGCATCGTGACCAGTATCTCCTGCACCGGTTCCGGGCCATGCGCGAGACGGCCCTCTTCGAATTCTGGTGACGGGGTGACTCATCGGTTGAATACAAGCCATGTGTGTCCGCAGCCTCTCTCTCCATCTCTCTCTCTCTCTCTCTCGCTTTCTCTCTCTTCGTGTGTGTGTATCCTCCTCCCTCCGCGCATCCACATCCACACCAGCTTTCTCGGTCATCTGTGAGCCTGCGAGGCCCCGAGCACCAATGTCCCGCCGTGTGTGGGACACATACTTACGCACCACGGGCCGGGGTTACTGGGGGCCGTTTCTCGGCTGGCTGGAGTGATGCCGAAAGAAGAAAACCTGCGGCGCGGCGGCCGGGCGTGTCAGCCGGCATGATTCCAGGATGGGGGGAGCACGGGCGGGCGCGGGCGGAGGAATTCGTCGGATATGCCACCTGCCAACGATTGCATGAATCGAGCATTTCACGGCGATTGACGCGCACAGGGGCACCGCGGGCCCCGCGGTGCCAATTGCTGGGTCTCTGGGGGAGGGGGGAGCACTTGTCCACCGAAGGAGGGCATACAAAGGGCGGGCGGGGGGACCTCGGCCGTCTCTATCTTCAAGCGCAGGGAGGCAGAGGACCGGGGCGCCGGGCGCGGGACGCGGGGGAGCAGGATCCCCCAAGAGACACGCCGGTCGGGCCTTTTGCCGAGACCTCCGACGCTCAACGGAGGGACAGGCCGAGGGGGGCCGGCGGTGTGGCCAGGCCCAGCCCGACCAAGATCGGGTGGTTGGGGAGCGGCCGGGCTCTGGAATGCGCGTGCGCTCCCTCCGCACTTGAAGTGCCGGATTGTGTGGCCCGGCTGGAGGGAGAAAAAAGCGCGGCTCGGGAAAAAAAAAAAGTCCCCCGGGCGCTGCCGGCGAAGTGGCCAGCGTAGGTGTCACCGCCGGAAAAACAACATTGGGAGGAGCACCCGCACATCCCCCGGCCCCCGGCTCAAATGCTCCGGCTCTCGCTGAGCCACGCCAGCCCGCCAGATGCGGCTCCAACGGCATGCGCCTCGCCCCCCCCCCTGGCGCCGTCGCCTGACGGTTGCCGCCGGACCTTTAGCCATCTGGGCCGCCCGGGGCGGCGCGCGGAGTTTGGCCGCAGCTCCGATCTTGTCGAATAGGGTAAGCCCAGCTAGGCCGCCGCCGCCCCCACCCCGGGGGGGGGGGGGGGGGAGCAGAGAGTGGGGCGCCGGCAGGGGCCGAACGTCGGCGCAACATGGCCCCTCTTGTGGGCCGGCCTTTTCAATGACACATCCTATGAAGGACCTCCCTCGGGTCCGTCGACATTCCGGGGGACGGGGACGGGGGCGCCCCCAGCCCGTGGGACCCCGGGCGCAGGTCCACCAATCAGGCAAGATCGCACCCCGTCCCTCGCACCGGGGGAGCTCCGCTGGCCCCGGGGCCCCAAGGGGTGCACAGGGGCCACGCACCGGAGGGCAGAGACAAGGGCAGGACATAGGCCCCCCCCCCCCCCCTTCCCCCCTCGGGCCAGCC